AGGCCCCCGCCCCCGGCCCGTGGGCTGGGCTGGGCGCGGTGTGGCTGGGCGCACGCAGTCGGAGGCGGCGCCGGCCAGGCCGCCCGGGCGCCTATGGACGCGCGGAGCCCGCTGTCTCCCCGGGCCAGTGCGTTCAGCATCGCCTCTTTGGTTGCAGCCGAGGCAGCCGAGCGCACCGCCCACTGGGGCCCCGGGGCCCCCGACCAGGCGAAGCTTCACCGGCTGCCAGGATCCCTGGCCGGGATGCACTTCAGCACCGTCACCAGGGACATGGAAGGTGAGCCTCCTTGCCGTGTCTACAATGCCAGCCTGCCAGACCCGGCTGCCCATGCTGCTTGGGGCCAGGGGCATGGAGTAGATGGAGGGCACTCTAGGTGGGGTGGGCTCTGGGTCCCAGCTGCCGCTTTAGGGCGCAGAGGAAAGGCGGGCATCCTGTCCAGAGCCTGTCACCCACCAGCCTGGGCCGGGCTCTGGAGATGGCATGCAGGTAGAGACGGGCTGGGGAAAGGAGTGCAGGCCAGGATACAGGACAGTGGTGGCCTCAAGCCTGGAGAGGTGGGAGTCAGTTCGAGAAGACAGTCAGTTGAAACCCGGACAGGAGAGACAGAAAGCCATGCAGACAGCTGGGAGAAGATGAAGCAGAGAAAAGGAGGAAAACACAGAAACGTGGGAAAGGTAGGAAAGAAAAGAGACAGACACAAAAGAAACACAGGGCAAGAACGTGAAGGAAGAGAGAAAATGGAGGGAAATTTTAAGACAGAAAGTAGTCATGATAAAGAAAAAAGCTTTAGTTTTTACTTTTTAAAAAAGAGGAAAACGCGGTGAGTCCAGAAGGACAAAAGGAAGAGGAAAAGGGCAGACTAAAAGAAAGACAAAGAGTGACAAATAAAGCGGAAAGAAGGAGAGGACGATGGAAACAGGAATAGCAGAGAGTACAGCAGAAATAAAGAGAAAGTACACGACGCGGGAGGGGAGACGGGTGGAAGGGAAGCTCGCGCCCCAGAGCACAAAGGTGGAGGAATCGCCCATCGGAAAGAAAACGCTGGGACCAGGG